GGTGTTGGGGTTTGTTGTGGGTTTGGCTCCTACACAGAGGCACGGCCAGGCAGCTCTGCATTCTGCCCTGTCCGCAAGTGCTGCCCCTGCAATTCCCACTGGCTGCAGTTCCCGGCCAATGGGAGCTGCAGAGCCGATGCATGGGGTGGGGGCAGCATGCGGAGCCCCCTGGCTGCCCGTATGTGTAGGAGCCGTACTGGGGAGATGCGCTGCTTCCGGGAGCCATGCAGAGCCACGGCAGGCAAGGAGCCTGCCTTAGCGCCACTGTGCTGCTGACTGGACTTTTAACGGCCCGGTGAGCAGTACTGACCGGAGCCGCTAGGGTCCCTTTTTGACCAGGTGTTCCAGTTGAAAACCAGACACCTGGCAGCTCTACTCGGTGACTACGTGCCTAGAAAAGGGCCATGTGAGAGTGCGTCAGGCACCATCAGGCATGTGCTAGAGATCATGCAGGGAGGCCATGGAGCACTCAGTGTCTCAGCTAGCAATCCTCCTGGGCAGCACTGCATGGCAGGAAAACTACACTCCTCCCTCTGCAAAACACACAGGATACGCCCCCTCTGAGCCCAACTAGTTTGCTGGTTGGCCAAAGTGCCCACAAAATTGCTAGGTGGGAGCAATGTTCCCCGACAGAAGTGTGGCCAGCTCCTGTTAGCGTGGGATTGCTCTCTGTGCCCTGCCCCTCAAACGCTGACAGGGGCTGGTCAGAATCTAACCCGGTGTGAGGCAGAAATAGGAGGAAAGGTGTGTACAGGGCTTTGTACTGAATTTCTTGGACTCTCAAGGCATATTGACTTAGGGCCAGATTTTCAGAAGTGCTGATTCCCTACATCTCGTGCTGACTGACCGGAGCTATGGGTGCTTAGCACTTCTGGAACTCGGGCCCTCAGCACGCACCTGAAATGATGCTGTGAATGTGTTTGTTGTATAGGCTCAGATACCAAACACACGGGCAAACTAAGAACCAGCCCAGTCAGTGTTCAGTGCTGAGCCCGCCACTCGCCTCTTTTAAAAGGGCTTTTGGTGCTCAGGAACGAGCCGAAGCCGGGAGAGCCCTGGGCACGCCCATCCGCTATTCGTCCCACATAGGCACCGTAAGCTTCCCCACACCACCCTGCCAGGGGGTCTCACCTTTGCTTTGAAGACTCAGCTCTTAGGATGAAAGTTCAGTCACTGTCCTGGCCTACACTACACAGTTAGGCTGACGTAAGGCAGCTTACTGCGACCTAATGATGTCAGTGTACACACTGCAGCCTTGCTTCTGCCGATGTAAGTGCCCCAATACACCCACATCATAACTCCACCTCCATCAGAGGCATAGGGCGTATGGTGGTGTTTAGGGCAACACAGTGGCTTTGTAGACACTCTTTTACTTACATTGGCTGTTACATTCCCTGGAGAGCTGGGTGGCTGGACCCCACTCCCAGTTGGGAGCTGTGGTGAGAAGCCCAGGTGGCTGGACCATGCTCCCAGCAGGGAATGTGGAGGCAAGAAGCCCCAGGTGGCTTCCTACAGCTCCCGGCCAGGAATGGGGAATGGGGCGGGGCAGCCCTCCAGGAACCTGTGGGTGAGCTAGGCTCCTGGCAGGGAGCTACCAGCAGAGCTGAGAGACTGGGCTCTCAGCTCCCCACACTGCCCCCCTTAGGTCGGTGGAAATGCTTTGGTGAAGATGTGCACCACCGACCCAATGAGGATAGTGTGGACATGCACCATTGCAGTAACTACTGCAGTGGCTGTAAGATTTAGTGTACACATATCCACTGTGTCTAGTCATTCTGTGTCCACTGAGGCTATCAACTATCCAGCAATGCCAATAGTAACATGGACCCCTCTGGTCCTCTACGAAATAGACTGAGATAACCAGCTTCTTTCATGTGGAACAAGCAACCATCAGACAGTTAATCAGACATTAACCTAGGTAGCTTAAAACCCATGACCTGAGAGTGAATGGCTCAGTATCCAAGCTGGGAGGGGTTGCAAGTGCTCTGGAAGATAGGATTAAAATTCAAAATGATCTGGACAAACTGGAGAAATGGTCTGAAGTAAATAGGATGAAATTCAATAAGGACAAATGCGAAGTACTCCACTTAGGAAGGAACAATCAGTTGCACACATATAAAATGGGAAATGACTGCCTAGGAAGGAGTACTGCGGAAAGGGATCTGGGGGTCATAGTGGATCACAAGCTACATATAAGTCAACTGTGTAACACTGTTGCAGAAAAAGCGAACATCATTCTGGGATGTATAAGCAGGAGTATTGTAAGCAAGACAGGAGAAGTAATTCTTCCGCTCTACTCTGTGCTGATTAGGCCTCAACTGGAGTATTGTGTCCAGTTCTGGGTGCCACATTTTAGGAAAAATGTGGACAAATTTGAGAAAGTCCAGAGAAGAGCAACAAAAATGATTAAAGGTCTAGAAAACGTGACCTATGAGGGAAGATTGAAAAAATTGGGTTTGTTTAGTCTAGAGAAGAGAAGACTAAGAGGGGACATGATAACAGTTTTCAAGTACATAAAAGGTTGTTACAAAGGAGGAGGGAGAAGAATTGTTCTCCTTAACCTCTGAGGATAGGACAAGAAGCAGTGGGCTTAAATTGCAGCAAGGGCGGTTTCGGTTGGACATTAGGAAAAACTTCCTAACTGTCAGAGTGGTTAAGCACTGGAATAAATTGCCTAGGGAGGTTGTGGAATCTCCATCATTGGGGATTTTTAAGAGCAGGTTGGACAAACACCTGTCAGGGATGGTCCAGATAATACTTAGTCCTGCCTTGAGTGCAAGGGAGTGGACTGGAGATGACCTCTCAAGGTCCCTTCCAGTCCTATGATTCTATCATTGTCTGAGCCATTCAATCTCTAGCATTAAACTTAGAACCAGGAAAAACTAGACAAGACACCAAAAGTACCAGGGTAAAATACTGTCCATAGAACTCTCAGTGCAAGAAACACAGGCCACTTTACAAACCCTTCCAACTTAGAGCCTAGCATTATATCCCTAAAAAATGTTATTAAAATGCTGAACAGACTAATAAAGTTTTAGTGGCTTTGTAATTAACGCTCTCTGTGACTGGGCCTCCTGCACAATTGGGTGTCCTCTCCATGGCAGGTATGTTTAAGAGACACTGTATCACTGATAAGATAGTATCAGGGGGGTAGCCGTGTTAGTCTGAATCTGTAAAAAGCAACAGAGGTTCTTACCCACGAAAGCTTATGCTCCCAGTACTTCTGTTAGTCTCAAAGGTGCCACAGGACCCTCTGTTGCTTTTTACTGATAAGATAGTTATAGAGCTGGCTTCTTCAGGATTCAATGTATGGAGTTCTCCAAGTTCAGGCGGATCTGATAAGGTTGTATTATTGAATGTCTAAAATGCCCTCAGTCAGACTCTGTGCCAAACTGAGGCTACCCTGTGAAGTTGTGTAAAGGGAAAAAGAGCTTTTCCTCATTGCATGGGGCTGGGAAGCAAAGGTAATGTGCATGGTTGGTGCCAATGGTCAGTGATGCTAGCTTCCCCACAAAGAGAAAGAAAGGCTAGGGCTAGAAGAAAGTACACCCAGCCAGCTAGAATTCCTCCTGGTAGCTTCTACCGCAGAGTAGCTTTTCTACCCATCACTCTAGCACTGGCTATGGCTTTAAGCCACACAACAGTGTGTGGCTTCGGCTGCATCCGAAGAAGTGAGGTTTTTACTCACGAAAGCTTATGCCCAAATAAATCTGTTAGTCTTTAAGGTGCCACCAGACTCCTTGTTGTTTTTGTAGATACAGACTAACACGGCTACCCCCTGATACTTGACAACAGTGTGGTGCATCTTAGAAGCAGTAATCACCGTATAAAAAGGACTGAATAGATTAGGGCAAAGCTCAGGGTTATTTTTTCCCATCAGCTGTTAGAGAAAACTAAATATCCATTCCTGCCACTGGCTGGGCAAAGCTAGGAAAAATGCACTTCAGACCACAGGGAGGGGTGTGTGTGTGTGTGTGTGAGAGAGAGAACTGAACACTGGTGAGCCGGGCTGCTGGAACAATTTATACAGTGGGGGTGCTGAGAGTCATTGAACCAAACTGTAAACCCTGTATATGATGGAAACCACTTCAAGCCAGGTGGTGCAGCAGCACCCCTAGTTCCAGCACCTATGTGGAGAGCCACTCAATATAGAAGACCTTCATGTCCCAGCCATTCCTGCCACCAGTTACGCTATGTCTTCATTGCAAAGAAAGGTGTTTTCATGTCGAGAGAGCTAACAAGATAGCTCTCGCGATGTAAAATCCTGTTGGAGACAAGGCACTGCAGTTTTTAACCTTGGTAGGTAGTTGAGGCTAGGATTTCTTGGCTATAGCTAGCTCCCTCCGTGTAAAAACACACATCTCTTTTGCAGTGAAGCCATAAAAGTGAGAGAGACAAAGTTAAAGTGACAACCGGAGTGTCATGCCGTGCATTTGGATGTCAAATGCTCTTCTGATCTGGCAGCAGGTTACTCCCAGTTAGCTCAGGTGTAAATGACACACTCCTAGGCAGTAAAGGCCCACCAGATTCACACACATGGGGAGAAGATTCCAAAGCTACAGAATAAATATATGGTGCACAACCAAGGTGGCAGTGAGCTGAATTTAAAGTCTGTTACAAGCTATAATGCCATCCCCTAAGAAGTGGGCCAGCTTTGTGGTGCAGGAAGTAATTTTTCAGGGCACTTACTTTAATTACAAGGTGAATTCTCAATCCATAAGGACATAACATGACCATAGTTTAGTGGCTGCTACCATACTCCCCTGACAAATACCATGATGCTTTAAAGTTTCAGTAGTCCCACTATCTATCTCCAAGTGAAGGGAAACATCAGCTAACACACCCCATTCCTTCCAAGAACAAAAAAGCGAAGATCAGCATGTTCATGCAAAACCTTTATTTAGAGAATGTCTATTGACCAACAGCGCCACCTGACTTACATGGTAGCATGGAAACATAGTGTTTACATTGTGCAGAAAAATACAAAGAAGTCCTTAAAGACATTCATCCTGTGATATTATACAAATATTTTTGTAGTTGCTTACCCCTGTTTCCTCCCTTTATCCTTCTGAATCCCCTCTTGGCCTATCTAGAGCAATGGCAATGACTTATTGTTGGCAACGGAGATGACCCACATGTTGAAGCTCTCTCTAGAAATACTTCCCGTTTTACGTAAAGACCCACACATGCACACTGATGCATATTGTCTATATTTTACATCTTCTTGTTTTCTGCCCAGTTTAGGAATTACTTGTGGGATGTTTCTGGTTATTTTTTCAACCAGTCGAGAGTTGGACAGCTAGGCTTTCTACTGTCTAGGGTGGAATGTTCCTCATTTATTATATAATCTTTATGTTCCTGTGGTTTCCCCTGGATGGGAAATTTCATTTTTTTATTTCTTCTCTCTGCTCTGTGTTGGTCACTTCAGACTTTGTGTTCTTTCCCCCCCCTCCCTGCACTGTAGCACTGGGAGGCGTGTGCAAACAGTTGGCAGCATGGGTGGTAGTGAGCATTGTGGATTTTGGTTTTAATAGGGACATCAGGATTCATCTTTTTCTATGTTTCAAACAATTTATTTTAAATAGTGATTAGGATAAACAGCTTTGATTTACTCCCACACTGAGGCTTCTGGTGAATATTTTCATGTGAGTTGGAAATAAGAGAATTAAATTGCAAATAATGTTTAGCATTTCAACCTCCCTAACAGTGTTCTAATGGCTTCAGCAATGTAGCCATTGTCTGTGGGTTTGCAGGCATGAGCCTGTAAACTCGCACCCTTTGGAGTAATCCCAATTAAATCAGTGGGGCTCCTCATGTGAGTAAAGTGTATGCCAATTAATAAGGGCTGCTATATCATGACCCTGGTGTCTATATAACCAAATTATGGAGAGCAGTTGAGCCCAACCTAGAAGAAACCAACTGTTGCAGAAACAATCAGTTTATGGACCATGATCCACAGACAATTTACCAATTCTCTCCATTCCATTTAACACAGCTTATGCTGCAGTTTAGCTCATGCCTCCACTTGCCTCTTTGGTCTAATGGGTCCCATCAAGGAAAGAGTCTGTTTCCAGTTATACCAGCTTAACCTGGGAGATCTGAGCTGCAGCCGCCAGCGTACAGTTGAAGGATCTTCTGCTATTCACAATTAGTAATGCAAAATAACTTTACCTTCTTCCTGCCCTCCACACTCACTCTCTTTCTCCCCTCCCCCTACACCTGGTATGGAGGAGTTCAGTCCTACTCCTAATGAAAGCGAAGGGTAGCAAAAGTTAAATTTCTATTCCCAGCATAAGTGCCAGCACTAGAAACCCCTCAGTCAGCAGGTTGCATGTGCTTCCAAGGCAGCGGAACACTGACCATATATATTACCGTCAACTTATCACATTGAAGAAGCAAAAGCCTTTTTACTAAATTCAGATATTTCTATATAAACAAGCCTGCCGGACTAGAGGTTTTCAGATAGGCACAAACTTGACACATTATTTGTATTACTTGTAAATTTTAAACAATCACTTTTTTTTCAAGGTTGGTTGGGTGCTGTAATGTATGAAGCACTGTACTTACCTCTAATGACTCTGCACTACTTGGAAGTCTCCCCACTGGATCTAAATTGAGGGAGCTTGGTGGCCCTGTATAGGATATGGGTGTCTGACTCACAGACTACCCCGCTGGTACAATCTACCTTGATCTTTGCTTTGAATGACCTGAGCTTGTGAAGGCTAAATTATGTATTTGTTACTCCTAGAAAGGTTGTTGCGAGTTAATTTAATGGCTGGGTGAGCCAATACATGGCTAGGCATTTCAATTGCCAAATTTCTTTGGCCATTAACAGACTTCAATTACTTCAAGGGGACCTAAGCACATACTTTCCTAAATCAAGGCCACACTCTCCTGTCCCTAACGCCTCCCCCGCGGCAAGGTCTGGAACCTGCGCTAGAAAAGTAGTGATTCTTTAAAGGAAAATGTAAACCACAAATTAACCCCAGTCCTGCAGAAGGATGGATCTGTGCGAGTGAGTGCTTAGGCCTGCAGACAATCCCATTGGCTTCCACAGAACAACATGTGGAAATAGAGGGTCTGCCCACTGCATAGGCTAGGAACCAGCGTGACTCCCCATTGTTTGTGGTTGGCAAGGGACTGAACAATACAGAGAAGCCTGGAAAGGAGCTGCGGGAGCTCACTACTTACTCTTCTTCCCCTGACAGAAGAAAAGTGTCTGGGGACTTGGGGCTCTCACCTCCTTCCTGAAGGTGGAGTCATTGCACTGGCAGTGGCAATAACATGACCAGATTTAGAAAGGAGCATGGCGATGGGTAAGCCTTATGGATACAGATTGTTCACACGCAGAGCTGGAGAAAGTCTGCAAGATTCAGTTCAATAAATTATACAATCACATTTTCTTTGAATATGTAACAAACTTTTAAAAATTCCATGAAGTTCCTGTGTAACCGAATCATGTGTTACAGATAAGAAATTCTTGCTGCCAAAGCCTAGTATGTGTCTTTGGTCTGTTTTTGCCAACTCACAGACCACCCAAAAATTTATGTTTCAGGAATTTGAAATGTTTAAAAGATAAGGTGGTTCTACAAAACAAGAATGGCTAGTAACGAAGCCCTTGAAATTCATGGATAAATTGTCAAAAGAATGTCAGCAAACAACAACACTTTAAAAAAAACCACAGAAGTGGACATAAAGGCTTTAAAAACACATAAACATTGTGCAGGTTAATTCAGTATTAAATACAGCAGAATGTACAGGCCTTTTTATATACTCTTTAATTTTTGTTTAAAAAGCCATATATTTGAATGTCACAAAGAAGCAGTCCAAATCTATCCACCCCCTTCGTGATGCCCATTGGCTCCAAGGATGAATTTGACCCAGATTTATTTATTTTCATACACTAGCCTAATTCAAAACCAAACCGCATAAAAACGTTTAACAAACAAACCCAGGTACTTTATCAGAGCTGCTCACAGACACCGAGACGGGGCTCCAAACCCACTTTTTGGTAATTACAGTCAGTGGAATGTTATGGCAGCAATACCAGCACGGATGGTTCTCAGCTGTTTTCTCTAAAGAGTTGCTCCAAAAAGAACAATCCAACAGTTGAGTGGAAAATTGTAGAAATTAACCCTGTACTCCACACACATACATATACACTGATTGTTCTTTTCACAACAAAAGAAAGTGGCAGTACTGGATATGAGGCCATATGGAACGTGCATTAAGATACATAAGTGACTCCTCCTTGGTCTGTCTTCAGTCAAAAGAATTATTCTTCTTAAAATATAATAATAATAATAATAATAATACTTCTTTATACTGGCCACTTAACAATTGTTTACATCGTAGAAAAATAGACAGTATTCTGTAACAAGAAATATAGTTAACTTTGTTAAAATGGGCTATTTTAAACCAGCAATTATTGTGTCATATAAAGAATTTCTAAACAGCAAAACACAAATAGATAATACTGAGTGCAAAACAGCCAGTGGTATTGTTTGCATTGGTTCAAAACATTTAGTTGCCAGCTACTGTAATTACATGTTCTGTACACTCTATTACAAAAGTCTTGATCTTTTAGGAGCTTTGGGGAGTTTGCTTTTATTTTCTCTACATGTGGCAAATAAGTATTTAATCAAAATGAATTCAAACTGTGGAAGTCCAAACTGATTTCACAATAAATCAATATTCATTCGCCTTGTCTTGCATTCATTCCAAAGCATCCCTCCACCCCCCTCCACACACACACACACACACACACACACACACACACACACACACACAGGCAGCACTCATGACTCATGTCTTATGGCCAAAGATTCCTCAACTTATGCAGAGTTTGGGCTTTAGAGATTCAGAAGTTTAGCTTATAAATTCACATTCCTTTAAAATCATTTGACTAATCTCCTGTGTTTAAATGTACACAGAAGAATAAGCTCCAAAGCCTAGTCTCATTGAATTTACCATCCCAGCTGAAGACTGTTAAACATCGTTTAGATAAAACCTCTTTGCCAAGTATAGGCATTAAGTCTTAATGCTACAAAAAACAGATGGTATCCAAGTAAGAGTCAGAGTTTTCTGTGATCTCCGCAAAGCAGATATGTGTGAATAACTAATTTCCTACTGGCAGTGGTAAAGGCTTTATCAGAATATCATAAAACACCACAAATGGAGGCAATTTCCAAGTGTTAAAACACAGAGCAAAATCAGCAAAACATTCTTAGGAGAGCAGACATCTCTAGATTCTCATCTGTGTTCAGCTCACACCCTTTCAACCCTGGAGGGATCGTACATATCTGAAAAATGCAAGACAGGAAAACCATGAGTGATGGGTTCTGAAATCTACTCAAGTTTAGTACATGCAGCTGGCAAGAGAAACAAGACACTGTTTTCTTAATTTAGAAGTACAGAAAAACCCGTGCAAACACACTATTCTTTTACAAAAAGTCAATTTAAAAATTGAATAATGAACTTGCAATTATTCTTTTTTTACACTGCGTGGGAGAATTCAGTGCTGGTGCTGGACTGAGAGCCCTGGAGATGCAAGTTCTTGACTAGAGCCTGATTCCTGTCCCATTAGCCCTGATTCTGATCTCACTTACACTAGTGTGATTTGGGAGGAACTCTTCTGAAGTCAATGGAGCTACACCAGTGTAGAACTTGTGGAGATGAGATCAGGATCAGACCCACCAACTAGAAAAGGAGTTTGAATTGAGTGGGGCCAGGGCTTGGCCCCGAGCGTGTGTCTATACTGCAGCTGGGAGCGAACCTGCCATTCCAGGTGGACAGACTCCACTAGCAGGGCTCACACTAGCGCATTACATATAGTGGTATGAACATTGCTGCACCAGAGGTGGCTTGGGCTGGCCACCTGAACTTGGACCCAGGGTGACCTCGAGCTTGGGTGGGCCCAAGCCTCCTCCAGTGCCACAATGGCCACACTGCTATTTTTAGCCTGCTAGTGCGAGTTTGTCTGCCCCATCTGGGAGGCTCGCTCTGAACTACGGCACAGACGTACCTTAATACTGCAGAGCAAAGTAGGGGCAGTGTACACCTCCCGGCAACGTGTCTCCACCCACACCCAGATGACCATTTTACAAGGTGGGGATACAGTTCGGTCTTCATTTTTAAGCACTCAATGTCTCCTGTACTCGGCAGAATAATTTATTTGCTTTAAACGCTGGTACTGCAAAGAGAGGCTGTGTTACATCACTGTGGCCCGGCTGACTTCCGCCAGCGTGCAAAACTCCAGGCCATGGTTTTCAGAGTTATTTTGTGCGGACAGAGGCTAGACAAAAGATGTGATTATTATTAAAGAAAATCAACCTTATGCTTTGGTGAATGCAACAAGTAAACAAATAGCATCGTCACCAGATTATACCCATTTTTCTAGCTAAAAATACACAAAAGCTGGTCTATTATATTTTCAATGGGTTTCAAACTGAAGTTCTTACTCAGGTTCTGATCACGTAAGGGCTTGTCTACACTGCGACATTGTCGCCAAAACTTTTGTCTTTCACCGGGGGGCTTTTTTAAGTACCCGCCAAAACAAAAGTTTTGCCAACGCAAGCAATAGTGTGAACGTGGCTTTGTCAGCAGGAGCGCTCGCCTGCTGACAAAGCTTATGCCGCTCGCGGGGCAGGAAGTATTTTGCCAACAAAATACCGATAGAGAGTTCCCACACGCTGACTTTTAGCAATAAGGCTGTGTTGACACAGCCTTGTCGCTAAAAGCTGCGTAGTGTAGACAAGCCCTTTTACATGCAAGCAAATATCTGCATCCTCCCATGCATATCAGCTTGCAGTCCTGGGGTGGGACTGCACTGAAAGTCAGTGGGATGTGTGCATCTAAATCACTTAGGTCCTTGAAAACCACACCCATAGTCTGTGGTCGTGTAACTCCCCCACTGCAGTGCCTGATCCCACAAACACTGGTGCATGTGAGTAACTTTACTCATGTGTGTACAGGAATGACTATGCAGATTTGATCCTGCAAGCACTTGTGCATATGAGTAAGGTCTAAATCAATGGAAATTTTTCCCAAGTAAGAACTTCTGGATTTGACCCCATGTAAAGATTATAAGAATAAACATTTGTTGCAGCTGACAGATTGGTGTCGTATGATTTTGTCTCCTCTCTTGCCACTCTCTTCCTCCCTCCCTGCAGTATTTACAGGGCAATCAATAAAGGAAACCTTGTCAGCAACTGATATATTTTAGAAAATGTGTCATTCACCTTCTTCTGACAGTGTCCAAACGTTTTTATTAACAGACAACATGGATCAAAGTCAATAGACGAATACTGTTAGAACTGCTGTAGTCTAACAGACATTGATGCATGCATCTAAGCCCTACGGATCAATTGTGTGGGAAGAACCCGCAAGGTATGGGCACTTTTTCCCCATGTAATTTTTTTCACCATTTATATACACCTAGCCTTTTGGTTGGTAGGAACTACGCTTTGTAGGAGGAGATTAAGATAAAACTAGAAAGGAATTCACGTTCTTGAATCATGGCTCTCCCTTAAGGCCAGAGGTGCTGAACACTTGCTACTCCCATCAACTCCCAAGAGAGCTGCAAGTGCGCAGGCCTGCGAAAATCAGAGCACAGAATGGTGGAAGCTCCCCCAGCTGGAACACTATTTATTCTCTGAAAAGTTACTCACACTTTCAGCTATCTGAACTGAAGCCAAATCAATTAGGGCAAGATTCTGCCTGGTGCATGAAGAGGCAGCAAAAGGACTGGGTTGTGGCTGGACCCTCCAGGGAGAATTCTGGCTTTGTCATAGAGCTGGCAGGCAGGCTGGGGGAGTAGATGCTAGAGTAGTAGGTCTGCTACCCTGGGATGGTGCAGCATGTTCCCCCTCAGCACCCAGCCAGTGCAGTGCATGGGACTGTTTTACTCTGCCCACAGACAGCTAACAACCATGCAGGGCATTAACAGGGAACAGGCACTTCACTTCCCAGTGGAATCCTGGCTGGTCCCTGTCCAGAGCTTCTTCCACCCTCCCCATTGTAAACCTATGCAGGAATTGAACAGACTGTGGTCCTTGAGTTGTAGATTTGTAAATGTCCAAATTTTCATCGAATTTGGGTGCAGACTATCACTGTCTTGCTTTCTCCGCTTCTAGGAGCCTATTCATGCATGACAGAGACTGAAGTGCCCAACAGGCTCTGAGCACACTCAACCAAATTCACGGTTGTGGGTGGGGTTACACCAGGGATGAAATGAGCTGGTTGAATGTTTTATTTCATGAGACAGGCTCATGTAATTTAAACCAGTTCGTACTATTGCCCTCCTGCTTACTACTTAGGAATACACTGCACTTCAATAGCCCTGTAGCGGGGTGGACACGGACACGGACATGGACATGGACATGGACACCTGCACCTGCCCCTAGAGGTTGAAAAAGCCCTGCAGAGGGCTGGGGCAGGGCAAGGTAAAACCCTGGCTGATTGGGGGAAGTGGCTGCAGCTGGGCCACACCTTAATCAGAGCCCAGATGGCCTGTATAAAGAGGCTGGGAGCCAGGAACTCAAGTCTCTCTCTCTGCCTTCAGAGAGAGAAGGGCCTGGCTGCAGTGGAGCAGGGCTGGGGAAAGGCTAAGGAGCTGGGGAGCTCCAGCCTGGATAGCCCCAGGCTGTGGCCTGGTAATAGGCCAAGGGGTACTGGGGGTTGCAGAGGGCAGCCCGGAGCTAGGGCAAGGCAGCAGGTCCAAACCCAACCTTGCCGATGATGAGTGGCCTATGCTGCAGTCTGCCCCAGAGAGTGGGAGCTAGATGGGAACTGGCAGTGGCCTTATCGTGAGGTGAGGTGGGGTTAGTGGGTGGGGGTTCCCCTGGGAGGGGAGACCTAGCATGTGTGGGTATTGCCAGGGGGCATCACCCAGAGCAAGGGGCACCGGGGTCCTGGGAGGGACACAGGGCCAATGTAGAGGACAAGGTGGATCACTGCCCTGCAGAGGGTGCTCCTGAGGCTGGTGAGCTAATTCCCTGGACGACCAGCAGGAGGCGCCACAGGGGTGAGTCCAGACGTCTACAAGCCCCTTCCACCAGATGGATCTCAAAGCACTCACTGACCTTAGGGAATAAAGCGAGATCCCCCTTACTAGGTGGGTGACTAATTAGCACCAGCACTTCATGGAGGTTAAGCGACTTGCCCATGGCCACAGTGGCATTTCCACAGCCGAACAGGGACATAAGCCCAAGTCTCCTGCTTTCCAGCCCTGGCTTTTAACTCTGACTTTTCTTCCTCACATCTGACAACAAAAATCCAAAAAGTCCCCCAGCCCACATCCCCTCAGTTAGATAGCTCATTAGCTTACTGTACAAGACAGCTAATTAGCAAAATCAACATACTAAGGAGGAAATCCTTGTCCCACTTCAGTCACTGGTAAAGAAGTGAGGTTTTTACTCACGAAAGCTTATGCCCAAATAAATCTGTTAGTCTTTAAGGTGCCACCAGACTCCTTGTTGTTTTTGTAGATACAGACTAACACGGCTACCCCCTGATACTAGTCACTGGTAAAACTCCCACCGACATCAATGAGACTGGTAACTTACCCAAATGCTTGCAGCCCAGTAATTACAATTGGCCCTAAAACC